ATGGGAAGGGGGGGACCATGCTTAGGGTACTATGGGAAGGGGGGGGGGACCATGCTTAGGGTACTATGGGAAGGGGGGGCACCATGCAAGCTGTGAATTGTAATCTCCGCGTCATCACGGTACCTGGCGTCCGGAGTCTCCGCCCCCAGCGTCCCGTTCAGCTTCTCTCCCAGCCTCATGTCCACCATCTCTGTCTGCGGGGGGAAGTCCATGTCCCGGGTGCTGCAAAAGAACAGGAAACGCAGAGCATGAATTCCCGGACCTCAGAGACTCCAGGGACGGCGTATGTGTGCGCTATCCGCCGCGTGTTTACTCCTCGGCTCCGCCTCCTGCGTTCTGCTCCCTGAAAACAAACAAGATAAGGAGAGCAAACGCCAGCGGGAGAAGCGCTGCACCCGCCATCACCTCATGTGTGACAACACCGGAGCAACACCGGAGCAAGGAGGCCAGCAGTTGTCAACTTACTGGGTGTAGGGGGCCTCAGCTGTGGCCCCTGACATCACCAAAGGGCTGCCCTAGGCCCCCAGGGCACAGGGGCCACAGACCCAGCAATCCACCTGCATTCCAGGCTTAGAATATTGTGGCAATGTATATAACATCATTCTACATAGAGAATCTGCCCCTGTGCCTGTGCGGCCCTTAGGCGTGTGCCTACCGTGCCCGACAATGGCGCGCCCAACCCTGAGCCGGCTTCCCGGCCAATCCCCCGGCACACACAAACCTATAAAGTGGTTTTACACGCCGGGGTGAAGCGCTTTATTGCCGGAGCGAGAATTGTAAATCACGACAACTGAAACCTCGTAACAAATCTGCTGAATGTGACACATGAAGATCATACGAGGAGCCGAGAGGTCAGAGGTCACAGGGACAAACGAGGGACAGATCAGGAAAGAGGTGAGGCCAGAGGAGGTCTAAGGGGGGTCCGCGCACTGTGCAGATATCTCCCGGCCAATGAGAAGGAGTTATCATGGCCCAAAGTGCTCATTAAAGTGAAGAAGATCAACAGCTGGAGGACAGGAACTACAAGTCCCAGCATGCCCCGCCAGGCACAAGAGAGCAGCACATTCTGAATGTGGGCCTCTGATTGGCTGCCTATAAATAGAACCCGAACAAATCCAAAATGATGAGAATCCCAGAGACCAAAACTAGGGATGGTGGGAGCCCCTCATAATGGGCACAGCGGGTGTACAGACCCGGGAACTCAGCACAGGGATGGTGGGGGCCCCTCATAATGGGCACAGCGGGTGTACAGGCCCGGGAACTCAGCACAGGGATGGTGGGGGCCCCTCATAATGGGCACAGCGGGTGTACAG